TTGTGGGATGGCTGCCAATTGTAGGTCTTATTTGTGGTCTCCACATTATGTCACTTATTGAGGGTTAACAGGTGCCTGAAGATTCAGCAGAAGATGGAAAAACAGGTTTTGTCAATTTTAAGAGAGTAGTCTGGCATCAGGCATTTCTTAAGTTTATTGAGACATTTGCCAAGTTCTCAAAAACTGGTTTCCCTCATCCCTTGGACACTCTCATGAAGATGTACCCATTCATATTTATACTCTCTGCTGACTATGAGGAACAGTGTGTATTTGTGATTCATTTTAGACTCCATTTCAGACTCTGATATATCTTTATCAGATGCATGATGGCTTTAATTCGTGGGATGAACAGCCGCTGTTGCTGTCCAATCTGTTTAGTGCCTACTGAAAAGCTGATGGACCTGCATCTTGATTTTCCTCTTCGCACTGCTGCAGATTCAAGAGCTATTGTTAAAGCAGCACAAACCATGAAGCGAGAGGAGGCAAATGAGCTTCTCAAGATATATGGTCTACGCCCAGTTGAAGTAAGTAATTTGGTTAAAGATCATTTGAATAGATGCTCATAAATTGATAAAGAATGTTTTCTGGAACATTGCTAACACTGATGTGCATCAAGCACTATCATTTGATCGCCTGCATGCATATCATCTTGGCCTATTTGGTGACCATCTCTTTGCTGAGGTCTTGCAAATGCTAGGAGGACTTGGACGAAATGCAGCAAGCCAGGCAGATCAACAGTATGAATATTTCATTGATATATGTTATTGATCTAATTATATATCTGCTTCAGGATAGACAAGATTCCACGATGGTGCAATTTAAATCACTTCAGCCAAATGATGAAGTTTGGGTTTAGCGATGGCACCAAGTATGAAGATATGTCTAAGGTGATCAGCATGTCTCTTGGATTGTATGATATAATTAATGGCCCTGCAATAGGTTGTAATGTTTGCAACACACAATGTGCTGGCCTCTCGCTCTGACTCATCTGGATATCACCTCCTACGCTGTATTCAAAGCTATCTCGAGCTTGATCCATACCTATCATTGAAGGTGCATACAACAGAGACAATTACAGCAGGCAGCCAGGAGCTATTGCACTTTTCAGATTGCCTCAAGGTTAGTCACAATGGTCAAATAGCATATTATTATGCTAACAATGCTGCCTTGATAGAATTACTACACCAAATTTCCAACAAAAAACTGGAATTTTCCCAAAATCCATACACACAAGCATGCTTTTGCAGATATTCTTGTCAAGGGTGTAATCTGGAACTACAGCACAATGTTACGGTAACACCGGACAAGAGATCAAAAAAGACTAAAAAGGGACAGTCACGTGGAACGTGCTGCCCTGATCCCCCTGATCCCAAAAGTATCCCCCTGAACCCTATGTGGTGCAAGAGCCTGTTGACTTACTGGTCGATGTGGCAGACACAGGAAAGGGTTAGAGATATATGAAGGAGCTGGTGAGCTCAGTGAGTGCTACAGGTAGTAGACGAGGAGAAACAATCTGAGGTTTCGTCCCCTACATGGCTGGTCTTATATACACGTACAGCGGGCTATCTTACCTAAGCTACCTATCTACGGGTATAAGCAAATGGCCGTACGTGAAACAATAGGATGTCCGGAAGTAGAACAATAAGTGGGAAGATCGATGGTTGCTGCAGTAATGCGTGTGCACATCGTGCCTATCTTGGTTTCCCTTTTGTTCTCCGGTGTGAACATCGTACCTATCTAGGTTTCTGGCTAAACTAATAGGAAGCGGAAGGCCGATGCATAACAATAGTCCTTGTTCCCTTTGTTCCCAAATGGGTGCCTCTATTGTATCCTGGAATAGACAGGTCTGACCGTATCATCCACGGGTCTGGACCATAACATGTGATGTGGACTATCACCTGATCTTTACGCGTTGCGTCTGTGGCTGAGTGGTGTGAGATATTGGTGAAGCACGTGATCTGTGGTGTGAGAAAAGTCACGTGCGGACTTTGTGGTGAAAATCTGTGACACTACCCCCCTCTCAAGGCTCATTGTCCCGAGGAGCCAAAACCTTTATTACCCCTTCTAGTTGCTCGCAACGGTTGGTAGCTTCGGGAGGGAAGCCCTTCTGCATAATACTCGAAGATTATTTGGGCTATTCTATCTCCCGGCTTGACCGAAAATACGAAATCCGTTGTGTTGATTAGTACGACCTTGAGTTCCCCAGTGTAATCTGGATCGATGACTCCTGCGCCCACGTCAATTCCTCATGCAGCCAGTCCGCTGGTGGAGCTATTTGTGTATAGGTATGTTTGGGAGGGTCAATCACGACTCCCGTTCCTACCACAGCTCGTGAATGCGGGGGGATTTCATGTGTTTCTGCTGCATAAATATCCCATCCTGCTGCTTCATTTGAGGGTTTTTTCAGTGATTTGGCGAGATCTGTCATCTTATGATATAGGAAGAACTCGTCTGGATGGTCGGACATGTTGATTCGGTGTGTGGAGATCAGTGCAACTTCATATGAGGATAATTCGAAGCGTTTTCCACTAAAAGTGATGACCCTGATTGGTGCTTTGGCTGCATCTGGGTGTTGCTGGTGGAATTCTTGAAGAAGTTCGTCGGCGTTGGTAAGATTTGTTCGGGGTTCCCATGTATCGTCGGAATGGTCATAGCCTTTCCATTTGATGAGGTATTGGACCCTTCCCCTTACGACCTTAGAGTCTAGTATTTCTTCAACTTCGAATTCTGGTTCTCCTTCGATTTCTACAGCTGGGGGCTTTGGGGGTTCACGGTTTGCGACGGTGTCTTGATGGTACATGATTAACTTGCTAGCATGGAAGACCGGGTGGACCTTCATTTGCTTAGGCAGTTCCAGTTTGAATGTGACTGAGCCTAGCTTCTGAAGTACTTTGTAAGGTCCGAAGTTTTGTGTGCCTAGCTTCGCAGACTTGACTTTTACTCTGAGATCCTTTCCCTTGAGTAGTACCAGGTCTCCGACTTTGAATGGGACTTCTCCCTTTTTCTCGTCGAAGTACCATTTCATCTGTGAAGCCGAAACTTCCAATGCTGCCTTTGCCTGTTCCTGCACCTCGGATCGGTGGGCGAATAGATGTTCCAATCAGGGATGACATATTGATTCGTGTACGTCTGGTGCCATTTTTGGATGTCGGCCATATTCGACAAAGAATGGGGAAAGTGCGGTGGATTCATGGGTCTGGTTGTTGTATGAAAATTCTGCTGTTGGCAGGTAGTAGATCCAATCATTCTATCTGTGGTTACAGTACATTCGTAGGTACTGTTCCAACACCTGATTAACCCTTTCTGTCTGACCGTCTGTCTGGGGGTGATATGCAGTGGACATTGTTGACTTTATACTGAGCTTCTGACAGAACTCCTGAAATAGTTTGCTCACAAATTGAGTACCTCTGTCTGAGATAATCTGGCATGGCAATCCATGGAGTTTGAAGACTTCATTATAGAATACGTTAGCGACTTGCGATGAAGTGACTGTATCGTCCGTCACATAAAAGTGTGCTCGTTTCGTGAGTCTGTCCACGACGACAAGTATTGCCGTCTTCTTTTCTCCCCTAAAGTCCATGGCTGGAGGAAGTTGTGTGATGAGATCCACTGTGACGATTTCCCATGGTTCTCCTGGTACCTCGTTTGGTTGTAGTAGTCTGTATGGTTTTTCTCTTGAGTACTTGTTACGTTGACAACTGTCGCAACCTTGTACATATTGTTTAACAGTTACAGACATTCCTGGCCACCAATAGTTCTGAGTGATAAGCTCCAATGTCTTGAACCTGCCGGGGTGTCCAGCTGGTAAGGTGTCATGATGGAGTTTTATTAGGTCAAGGCGTAGCTGTTGATCCTTGGGGACATAAACCTTTCCGCGATGGAGCAGCAGTCCGTGCTCAAAGTTCCATTCTGCGAGGTTTTTCCCAAATTCGCGCTGTCCTGTAGTCAAAAGCGCACGATAATCTTTGGTCATCGTGTCATCTGTGAGTGCCTTCTTGATCCTTTCCAGTAGTTGAGCATCATCAACTTCAGATGCGTGAGCGGGTCGAATCACATTGATAGCAAAAAATTCAGGTTTGAATAGCATTTGGTTCGAATTGTTGCTGTCTACCCCCCTCTCATGGTCTGGCCTCCTGGACAGAGGATCGGCATGTAGCATAGTCTTTCCAGGTCGGTGACTAAGTATGAAATTAAATCTTGTGAGGAATAATGACCAGTGCGCTTGGCGCCGGGATAATTTTTGTGCCTGGTGGAAGTATTTAAGGTTGAGATGGTCTGACCAAATCTCAATGGGTTCTGGGTGTCCTTCTAAATAGTGCCGGTATTCTTCTAGTGCCCGAATGATAGCAAGCATCTCCTTGTCATAAATCTCATAGTTCCGCTCATGTTCATTGAGTGACTTAGAGTAGTATGCGACTGGATGCCATAGCTTGTCTTCTCCCAGTTGTTTGAGTACTGCAGCAGTTGCGTAGTCTGAGGAGTCTGTCTCTAGACAGTATGGCACAGTGTCGTTGGGGAGTTGTAAGATTGGGGCTGAGGTAAACACTGTTTTGAGTGCATTGAAGGCTTGGTCTTGCTCTTCCTTCCATTGCCAGGGCACGTCCTTACAGGTGAGAAGCGTTAAAGGTCATGCGAGTTTCGCAAAGTCCTTTATAAATCGCCTGTAGAAATTCACGAATCCTAAAAAGGCCTGTACTTGTTTGACCTTTGTCAGTGCGGGCCAGCCAAGTACACCTTCGATTTTAGCAGGGTCCATCTGTACTGAGTTCTTGCTGATGATCATGCCAAGATACTCAATTGAGGACTATTCAAAAAAGCAGTTCTCCAGTTTGGCATACAAGTCATTGTCCCAGAGGCACTGTAGAACTGCTTTCACTAGTCGTCGGTGTTCATCGAGATCGTCCGTAAATATGAGGATATCGTCTAAGTAGACTACCACCTTTCCAGTACGAATTAAGTCTTCGAGGACTGTATTCATCATTGTTTGGAAGGTGCTAGGAGCATTGCAGAAACTGAAGTACATTACGGTGGGTTCGAAGAGGCCACGATGTGTGATGAAGGCAGCTTTTTCTTCGTCTCCTTCCCTAATCCTTATGTTGTTGAACCCCCATCTCAGGTCAAGCTTCGTAAATATACTAGCATGTGAGAGTCTGTCAATGAGGTCCGAAATACGTGGGATTGGGAACTTGTTCTTCTTTGTGACTGCATTGAGGTTCCTGTAGTCTTGTACGAGCCTCAGTGATCCGTCTTTCTTTTTGACAAAGAAAACGGGTGCTGCGGTTGGACTCCTTGATCTCTTGATGTAACCCTTGGCTAACTCTTGGTCTATCCACATGTCGAGCGAATTTCTTTCCTGTAGGTTCATAGTGGAAAACTTTGCCGGGCGTGGTAACGATGCCTCTGGAACAAGTTCGATTAGATGATCGTAGGGCTTTCTTGTGGGCATTCATTCCGATTGCTTCTTGGAGAACACGTCGCCATACTCGTGGAAGTGCTTGGGGACATAGGCTGACCAGTAGTCTTTGTCCTGTTCTCCTTTTTGTGGCGCTCTATCCTGATTCCTCTTGGTGTCAAGACCCATAATGAGTGATGCTACGGCCTGTGCATCAGGGTCTTCTGATAATGACACCCATCTGATGAAGCTGTCCATGTCGTTCCAGTTGTCACCTAACTCCTGGGAACCGATGAACTCCATCAGGTCTTCGATGTGGGGGATGTTTGTGTCTTCCAGGTCCTCCTCCTGGATTGCTACCTGTGAGTGTGTGCAT